GATTCGTACATCGAGAAGACTGAGAATTTCTTCAGTTGAAGAATGAGGCTTGAGGAGGTTATTCCCAGCCTCGATGAGTGCTTTCGAAAGTTCCGTCGCTCCGACAAGAGGACCCATTGATCTCCTCTCTACTCACAATATCTGAAAACCTGAACAAAAATTCAAAACCCTAGAAAACAAAAGAACATTCTCTCGAACGAAAAACCCTACTACTGTCTTCGAATCAGAAAGACAACTTTACGAGTCTTTTTAAGACGGTGTTGAACATGCAAGAACTGCTCTCTCTCTATAATACCCCGTTCTAGAGAAATATAACTCTCACAAGAATAAAAAGCGTTTTCTCTTCAACTTATAATTATAAAAGGGTTGACAAAAAAAAAATCAATTATGTTATTTTTTTTTGTTTTATTCGATTAGGGTTTTTTTAATCAACAAAAACCAATTAATTTTTGCTAAAATACCATTCGTCAGTTCCCGCCTTTCTTCCGGATCTTTTCACTTCCAAAAAAATTGAAATTTCAATTCGTGTAAAAAACCAAAGGTTCGTAAAAGTAACAACAACAAAAAGAAAGTACGCATAAAAATGAATAATTCAATGAATGGTCTGGGATACAAATCCTCTTAATCAGAGGAAAATACAAATTATGTATCCCATCTTTTTTTTTCTTACCTTTTCTTGAAAATTATAGTTATTAAGTTCAACAAATGTCAATATCCATTTTAAAACTAAGCTAAACGTTGATTTTCAGTATCAATTTCCACCACCAACAAGGTTAAATAATCAAATTATTTTTCAGATTCATTAAATATAAAAGAAATGGGCCAAGAAAATAACAAGGAAATTGGGTATTGGAAGAGTAGAGAGACTAACATAAAAACAAAACTTGATCATGTTCATAACAAATCTCCAGAGCTGTCCGCTAAATATTAAATATCAAAACCAAGAGAAAACAGCATTGTGATTTGAAAAACATCTGAAAATTCGAGATTGCAAATGCTTCTTAAGTTTAGTTAGATTCAATATGCTTCTTCACGATACTGAGTGCAGTGGTCTCCTCACCGTAGTCCTGTAAGAAAAACACAGAATTGCATCAAGTAAATGACCAGAGACAAGAAAACAATGCATTCAGATACACGGATCAAGACACAAAGATGATTCTATATACCTTGACTACAAGACATGAGCATCCAACAACCTTCCTGGCATTACCCTCGGAATCAATCTTGCAGAGCTGAGGAAACATCAAAAAGATTCAATTTTTTTGTTAATAACCGAGCATTCATCTGAAAAAGAGACCACTTTAATAAGGTATATGTGGCGAGTCAGTAGATTTAGAAAACTAAAGACTTACACCAGCCCATTCGCCGAGGGTCTTGGCACTTGGAACAGTTAGCAAATTGATGTTGTGATCAGCGCAGAGAGCTTTAACAAGCTTCACATAGTCAGGTTGGTTGCAGTCTTCAGCCAAGACACAGAGCTGAGCGACACGCTTCTCAATAAGCTTAGCACTTTCATGAAGACCACGAACCACACCGCCATGGGCACGAGCCTTCCTAAGAGTCAACTCCACTGCAGTCATTAGGTCCATGTCCTCTGGAATGGCCGCTGGCTCAGCAACGGGAGGAACAACAGCAGGGGCAGCCTCATCACTGAGAAAGGAAATTAATCAGGACCCAACCAAACAGAAATGAAGCACACAACACAACACATTATATAATTTACATAGACAAGCTTGAATTGTCAACAATATACATTGTATCTAATCAAGAACCAACTAAACGCCGTGATCTGATTCATGAATCAAATAAGCTAAACAGACAAAACGACAATCACACAACAGCTTTATAAACATTCAAAAACTAATCCAAGTCCAGCAAAATATTAACTCAAAGAGAACCTGAAGGGTATTAACAATTGACAGGCACAGACAGCAACATCATCCATGCAAGAACACATTTCATGACTTAGGCAAATCGAGATTAACCAAAGTATATGAAATAGGGATGCACAATTAGATAAGTTCGCTATTCACTACAGATTAAAATGTAACGCAGCATAGCTACAACGCAAGAGAAGCTTACCCTGACATGATTATCTCTTTGCTAGCCTTTAACGACCCAAAACACAAAATTCCTTGTTATCTGCCAATACAAAACCAAAAGTTAATCACTCACAACAAACACCTATAAAAATCAATATTACTGGCAAAATCGGGCGTCGGAAGAACAAAATTCGACAATTTAATACATAACCCAGATTACAATCGGGCAAAATCTGTAAGATCTTACAACCTTTTGAGGAACTGAAAGACTAACCTCAGAGACGAAGACGGCAGCAGCGGAAAGGAGGAGGAAGAAAATGGGAACAACTTATATGGAGACTTAACTAATACTAAAACCCTAATTTCACCACAATGACGGATCGTCACAGATCCGGCCCACATATTTGGGCTTTACTGGGCCTCTTAAATGCCTTATCGAGGATATCGTTTAAATGTAACATTATCTTCCCAAAATGTGATGATATTAGGGATTGGCATGGCTAGGACTGGCTACAAATGCCCGTTCCCCGTCCTTTACCCGTTATCCGGCTTGTACTCATCTCGAAAAATAGGGTATCCGTAATGTTCGAGTCGGATAAAAGGTACTATAATTTTGATATCCGCGGATAAGGGTCGGGTAAAGGATATCATTTTTTTTTCACTACCCGTCTCGTTATCCGTTTTCGTACTCGATTTGCTACCCGATCCGTAAATACTCGCATTTTATATCACTAATATTTGATAAATTTAGTTATAAACTAA